ATATTATTCAAATTTGAATAACTGTCTCCAGTTTCCCCCGCAAAAGTCCCACTAGTGATTCCGGTTTTCGCCCTTCAAATCTGGTTATTTTTGCTAAGACGCCTATACATGAAACAAAAAACTGTAGCGTCTTCTGAATTAGTAATAATTTTAAAGAGTTTTCCTATACATTTTCACTCTGACTATATTATTTTAACATTATTATAGAAGAAAACTGTCTTAAAAAATAAAATGTAGCTACATTGTTTCATTTACTTATAATTTGTATAAGAAATAATTAAGTATAAAAATATGGTATTCGGCTTTCGAATAGCCACTCTACGCAATTCGTGTTCCAAAATCGAAGAAGTTAGAATAGCCGCAATTTTTACAAATGACATCGTGACGTTTATGCGGAGGGTGCGACCGACAAGTCATCATGTTACTTCTTTCCTATTATTTTTGCATTTCGCCGCACTTTTTCCGCCCTAAGTGTTTCTTCTTTGTCTTTTCACAATGATAACCTTACTCGCACGGTATTTTATACAAGTTTCAATTATATAACATGTGATAATTTTTTTATACCAATATAACTTTTTAACATCTCATTGAAAATACATTTTCAGCTGTAGTATATATTTATATATTTTACTTTGCAGTTATTTAACGATTACAGCAGAAATAAGTATTAGTTAGACAAAACATAAGGTATTTGTTATCTGCATAAACATAAAACTTTTTGCTTGCTTACATCCCCTTTGCTACTTGTATTTTCTTTATAATTTATTCCATTTCTCCCCCGTACATTGGCATCGGCCGCTGATATTTTTTATTCGATTAGTAAACCCCTAAGGTGTTTTTAGCCTTTTTTCGCTCGATTTTCTTCGAAGCTTTGTTGACTGTTACAGAGGGTTACAATGCTCATTTCTTGTGGATGAGCAACCTTATTTATATTGTTGCTTAGATAGACTTCCTGAATTAAATGATGCTAAATTAAATGGATTTACTTCATTTATTTAAATATAAGGTAAAATATAAAAAAGAATTTTATCCAATACCGAAGTCTTGCATAGGATAGGAGCATGTTAGTTTTGAAATTCATGGAAATGTGAAAGTTATTTAACAAAATACAACAATACAAATTATATATTATGTTAAATAATGGCGCCTAGAACCGATGGTAATAGTAAAGTAATATGTGAGCATATGACCTATTTGTCTAAATTAGTATTTAATGAGTAAATTTGTAATTGGTTCATTGCCGCATATTCAGCATAGTTGAAACTTCGATCAACGTAGCATTTACGTGAAATTCTTTGTAAAGTCATAGACGTTGGTATGTTTGACCCTAGTTTCTCAAACCGCAGTACTTACACACTCGATTTGTGTCGAAAAGGAGACGGGGGAATAGAAACTTTTTGATGGATCGGACGGAGTTTGTTTTGCATGTGAGTGATATGTCTGAAATAATAAATGTTCAGGCGTCGACGCTTCCCTAAACACCCCTCGGGAGGGTGAACTAAAACGATTTTTGATTTGGGTGTCAAGCAAATGTTTTACGCAGTGACGCTCCGAGAGGATTTGATTTTCTTAATCGATTTCTCGCAGTGATGCATAGATTTTAATTATTGTCACGCGGATGTTACGATTAATGTATTATCGATTAATTTGTATGAGTTTATATATTGACGGTGATACTAAAAGCTTCATATAATACTTACTCTAATCAGATTATGCATACAAGAACGGTTTGGAACGTTAAGCGGTGCAATATTAGGCAGTATGAACGGTTCAGAATTAACTAATCAGCGTACATTGGCTTCGGTGGTGATTGCATCGCATTGTCCAAGCCCGTGGCCCCGGAATATCTGTTTAGGCCACTGCTCGCCCTGTAATGGCAATGGTTAGCGTTAACTAACTTAGTTAACCTTCATAATTTTGTTAGTGAAACATTTGCATATCTATTTCATAGCTGCGATAGAATTGTTATACGTACCTAAAATGTCAAGTACCTACTATAATTATACAGACATCTTCATTTAAAAGTTACATTTATAAAATAATTGTTTTTTTTTATAAATACCCTTAAAGCAAATAAAATGACACAAACACGAAAATGGCGGAACATAACAAAATTAGTATTTAATTTGCCTCCCTCAATCCGTCACGACTCATTTTGTTTTTTTTTTTACTTTACACTGCATTGGACTCTTGTCACCAATTTACAAAGTGACAAGAGAATGAATAATATTTTATTTCGACGATGACGGCTGTTTTTGACATAAAATTAAGTAGCTATTGATGCATTTGATAGAGCTATGAGACCTTTTGAGTCTACACAGTCGTAATCGTTTAAGTCGTGAAGAGATTAATTACTTCGTCTATAATTAATTAATGAGGAGATTTTTTTAAATATATTGCGCTTCAGTAAAATAATTTCTATTAAATACAAATAAATATTTTGTTTAAAATCAATCATATTATTTAGGAAAAGAATAACGTATTGAGCCGACCCAACGAATTCCAAATATCATCGATCACATTAACAGTTTTATAATGATGAAAATAAAAAAGAAGGAAGTGGAAATAATTTATTACTTTATTGATACAGGCGTTATCTTTTGTCCGATCGCTCTGTGATGATTTGGTCATTTCTTTTGGATTCGTTCAGGATACGAACACTCATTCATTTTCAATTCATTAAAATTAAATCGAATTGTCAAATGCCTTGTCGTGTGATAACTAATTGATAAAAGTATATCTTTTATAATTTATACGTTCCAAAATAAAACGCACTTCTCGTTTTTGTAAAAGAAACTTTTTAAATTTGACTATTATCGCGGTTCAAAGTCTTTAAAGATGTAAAGATTATTAACATATTAATAGGAGAGGATATGAAAAATATATTAAATTCAAACAGAGTTCCGTGACTCGTCAGTAAAGTACCAAACGACTCCATTTCGAGGGTTCAAGTACAGAGTACTTTGGTATTAGAAAGTATTGTTCATGTGACGCAGTGATGCTGTCGTTTAGTATTTCATATAATTCATGTATTTATAAATTTTTTTAACCAAGTATTTTTTAATTATACAAATATATAAAAAGAGATACAAATATGTATACATACGATATTTTTATGGCTAGTAATAAAATCGTAACCTACGTAAAAAGCTCTTACTTAAGTAAGAGCTTTTTAAAGAGAAAATTGCAGTTTTAATTTATATAAGCAAAAATTAAAACACAATTAACAATGATATAAATATAAAATGTATACCTAACCCTATTTCTAAGTGTTCTACGGAAAGTTTTATTTCAAAAGACTCTCCAAGCATAAATATTTATTTCTATTTCAATATTCACTTAAAATAGAGAAACGTTAGTCTTGTGTAAAATATACCATTAAAAGTATAATGAGAAAAGATATATTTGATTTCTCTCTGACTATTCTCGAGCCGACATTACTCTGTAATCCACAAAAGGGTTCCGCGAAGGCTTAAAACAGCCACTTATTATGTATGTTACATTTCACTTTCAGACGTCATTTATATTCAAATGCTCAAAAGGCATTACTGGGCAAAAATTGTAGCATTAACCCCTTTGAAATGAGCGAAATTGGTTCCGACAAGGGAAATCATTTTTCAAGATCTGTTTTTATGAATAGATTTAGTAACTGACTCACTCAATTTTCGATCGTTAATTGTATTAAGTTCTTTTATTGGGCTAGTATCTAAAATTTCATGGACAAGTTTAACGGCGTCATGTTATTTTATTTTAATATAGACAGACGTACCTACTAGATTATTATGATATAGTTTTATTCACAACAGTTAATCCACACATTAAAAAATATTCTAAATAAAACTTAGAGGAAAAGGTAATAGCAAATATTATGTTCGTATTCTAATAAGCAAAATGAAACGGAAGCATCAAAAGACCAATAACTCACAATCAAAAAGAACCTACGGAATTAGGGTAGCGGTACCGATCCGTACAAAATGATTACACACCGTCTTCATCCGTTCACAAAGGAACACAGCGGGGTCTTATAATATTATACTTTTCCCTTTGTAGAGTAACTCCGAAACGCAGTGGGTAGCATGCTTTATGGTTTCAAATGATAAAACTGTTTGTCAGTGGCTTTGTTAGGATTCGTTTTGCGTGGTAGCGTGTCCGATTGTCGGTATTTATGACTTCTGATCGTATCTATAACGAGGTGCTGACATATGATCGTCTGCGTTGCGAATCGATTGTTGTTCTATGAGTGTCGTTCAAAATTGGTGTTTTAATTAAAATTTAAATTCATGAATGCAATTTTGTTAATTACTATACAATAAAAAAAGTATAACAACTTATAGGTAGTTATCGAAATGCAGTAGGTTATTCACGTCTCCAAATCCAACATTTATTATTGATAAATTTAAAATATTTGTATTATAGATATATGTTATTTATTGTATATATTAATATTAAAGTCTATATTGTGCTCAGAGTGAGCATCATCAAAGGACATCAGCAGTGTCATCCAAATAGTTCTGTAACGAATGTGTTATAAATAGACAAAAAAATAGAAAATAGATTGTGAGAATTTATTTCTTATTACTAATCTTTTTACTTATCGTTTTTATACTGTAAATAATATTTTCAAATACAAAAGAAGAAAGAAGTAAAAAGTAAATTTGTCATTTTAGTTAATATGTTAAAAAATATTATTTCTAATATTCTACTAGACATAATTATATGTACGATACTTTCCAGATCGCACCAAACATGTAACACTTTGTAAGTATTCTTAGCGTAACATATCAGCAGTGTGACAAAATAATAACATACACGGAAGCTTTTTGCCTTAGGGTCCGTCTGTGAGATGCTAGTACTTCCAACCCTTCTATCTACTGAACGGAATATCATAGAGTTATAAGCATAATGTAGTAAATAATATAAATAATAAAACATATTGCATTGCATTTAGAAAGATTTCAAACTCCTATCATTATTTTAAGAATAATTATCTTTTGTTGCAGGTTGCGCGATGAAAGGGGCGACATAGAACGTGTTATTGCTATGGATAAAGCTCGTGAAGGTTCACATAATGGTGAGAAATCATTTCCTTTGCCGTCAATGACAAACATATCTATACTTGATATGATATTAGGTATATCATCGATTTAATTTATTATCTTATCAATTAAGTTAAGACGGTACACGGAGTTTGCCTATTTTAGGTTCATCCCCAGGCCACAGTCCTGTGTTAAATCTTTCGAAGTCTGGATCTGGTGAGCGTGAGAGATCAGAGCGAGAACGTGATCGTGGAGAACGAGGTGATGGGTCCGCGAGTGGGCGAAGCTCGGCCGCCTCCCGACGCACGCCGCAACCCCCGCGTATACCCTCTACAACGGCCGCGGCATCCCCCCACTCACATTCAGACGAAAGTGACGCAGCACTGTCCGATCAGGAAGACCACAATGTTAAAGAGGAAGATGACGGTGAGTCCATAGATTTGACAGAAGTTGAAACTTTTTTTGTTGTTCTAAAAGGCAAAGGAGTAGGTTCTCTATTTATGTCGGTTCAGATATGTAAAGGTTTGGTAAAATTTTCTGGTGATGATGCTATAACTTCAATTGTAATTCGAGTATTATTACGAGATGCATTCCAAAATATATAGATAAAGCAGCAATTAGAAAGACGGTATTAAATAATCATTTAAAACAACAAACTTATAAATATAATTTTGTATAATATATAATATAATGCGTACTCTTTTTTATAATACATGAGTAATAAATAAAACAAAAGATGCAGTGAACCGTGGTTTAATAGAAATATTAAATCAATTAGGCTCGAACGAATAATGTACCTACATTTAAAATTGGTTAATCTTTTTAATAGCTCAAACGACCGTAATCGCAGCTGCGACAAGAAAGTATCCATGTTACATTAACATAGGCTGGTTGTATCACCCTCGATATACGCCGCACGTTGTACCCAGCCAAAGCTAAATTACCCAGTAATAGCAAAACGTTCAGGATTTCATAGTTCGGAAATTATCAGCCATAAAATTGCATCTTTTTCTTTTTTGGGAATAAAATGCATTAATACTCTCCATACAATGTAAATGATGACTATAATTTTATTGCTTTGTAATTAAAGCTCGAATGCAATAAATGCAAACAGCAGAAAAAAGCTTCATATAAAAAGGTACTTGAATAAGAAAAGATGTTATCTTAACATAATTATAAATGTAGAGGAAATAACAATCGGCGATGTTCCTTGCAAATGCATCTTGATTGCTGGTTCTTAAACGATTCCTCGTCTCGAACTCGGGACTTGCGCGTTTACTTCTAATGCTCTAACATAATAAAATCCTATTATATAAATAACTGGTGCAATTACCTCTAATGATGTATGAATATAATTTCAAGGATCAATTCAATTTAAAGGTTACCAATACCTAGATTTTAGCCTAACTAACTACTGTAGGTATGTATTCATATGTATAGGTATGTATGCGTAGAGCACCTTATTCTAGAAAAAGAAATGAGGTTTTATTAAAGATTTTTTTAAAAAGCTTCATGGATCTGAACATTAAGTTAAATTATAATGAAACATATGGATAAATATACCGTTTTCTGGGAACTAGGTGGCAGTACTCATTACGAACATAAGTTCTCTCTATTAAGACTTCTTCAAAGCTTTCACTATGAAAGATAATCGTACACCATTAAGACTATTAAAGATCAATGATGGATGGTATGACAATTTCTATGATAATATTCTAACAGTCTTTTATCTGCAGCTTTTTGTATATTGAATCTATTAACAAGCTAAATATTTTTAATCAATATAATATCTTCTATCTCCTTAAAGATCATCAATCAAGGGGAAACTCGTTACGAGAAACTATAATTGCGTTACTAAATTATTATTATTACTTATTATTATTACTACATTATAATTACATAATTAAAAAAAATATTCATATATTTTATTCACAAAAAATATATATCTAGTTATACTGAGCAGATCTGGTTTTTTTGTTTCCAATGATTTAAAAACTAAGAAAGAATACCTAAATCTTGAGAAATAACTTTTTGAGCTAAAATACACAGAAATAGATGGTAATTAGTAGCGACAGCGTTAATCATAACAAGATCCAAAAATGTAAATACTTGAAGCATACAATGGGCAAATTACTGAAACAATATGGATTGTGTGGATTGTATTTACTAAAGGTTGCAAATAGCGTTCGCAGATCGTGGGAACTAGTCATAGAAGTTATGATAGTTACTATGTTTTGTCGATGCGTACTAAATAAATTAAACATTCGTTCAGTTTAGTTAAAATTGTCACTTTGATTTTTTTTGTAATTGTTCATGATATTTACAATACAAAATTATATATAAAACAGCTTTTGTAGCTCAAAACTAAGTATATTAGGAGTTAAGTAAAATAATATATTTGAAGTGTCTAAAGCACTATTTATAATAAATTAATTTTAGCATCATCAACTTCACTGTTAACATTGCTCACGATCATCACGATCAACGGAGATCATATAAAAAAGCTTTTTTATTGACTGTGTCATTCAACTTTGATCTTTGTCGAACCGATCTACCTTACCTCTTTCTTTCAATCATCGCACTCATTTGTGACCCTGTTCCATTTATACATGTTAGGTTATAATGGTCATGAGTGGGTGATTTTATAAAAGTATTTTTTTTAAATATAATATCAGAAAGTTTCTTTTCGTATGTTCCATTCATTGGGAGTTTTATTAATTAGGTTTATTAGGAAGATGGTGTTGTGACAACTCGAAAGTGCTATCGTGTGCATCGACAATGACGAAACGATGTTGTCTTCATTATATGATGAGCGTTCACTATCTTGTCAGTTAAATTAAATGTATCGATAGATTATTTTGAACCGTGAGATAGCATCTAAGTGTTTTATACATTTAAAGTTTTATCCGTTATTTATTTAATATACAACTAGATACCACACTAAAATTACTATTTATATGGAGTGTGTAAATGAGTGTGATTTTTACTTTTTCACGTTTTATTCACTCCACGACCGCGGACACGCCGGCGTTTCAGTTAACAATAGATTTTTTAGAAATTTACCTGGAGGTGTTAACAGCTAAACGGGATTTGGTATATCTATCTAGCTTCTGTTGTTAAATAAATAATAGTTGACAAAATATCAATATTATTTTTAAGAATAAAACAACGGATGTTGCAATGAAAATAAATATACTTAACAAGTTTTAATTGGTACTATTGGAGTGCTCGGTCTAAAATAGCAAAAGGAACAAGTATCAATATAACCCAGCGAAGCATATATAAATCGCTTAGAGACAGCCCATTCGGTGTCGAATGGCTTACCGTGTCCTTATTCCGACTAGTATCGGTAAAACTACTTGTAAACTGAACTACCCATTACTTGTTCAGCGAGGAGATTTTTGCAAATGAATACTGAATCTATTTTGATACTTTCACTGGAATATTGCACAAAACCAAAAAAAAGTATAGGTACGTTTGAATTTAAAATGTTTTAGCTTTTTTGGAAATTAGACTAGTTTAAAATTCTCGACACTTTAAACTACGAGTATAACTGGTTTGACGTGTATGAATGTTGTATATAAATTTCTTTGTTAATAAAATAGGTTTTATATTATGTAGACGATATTGAAAGCTTGGAATATTCATAAATAATTTTCTTTTTACTACTGACCATAAGAGTGCACGGATATATTTCATTTAGTTTTGTTCTGACAGATTCGAATAGGCCTTTCTTGGTCCCATCAATGCACCGCATGGATTACCACGCGATTTCCATGTACCTTGCAATAATAATTGTTATGCGAATGATACACGCACGCGATCAGCAATGTCGTATTTATTATTAATTGTTTTGTATTGCATATTTTTAAGATTTCTTATGAGGCTATCGATATATTAATTGAAGTTGTAACAACATCATCACTTAAGAATTCATTTTAATTAAAAGATTTTTAAAACTAAATAGATCTACCTTTTTGACTAGGAGCAGAGCTCAGCGATGGTGAACGTGACCTTCCTACTAATACATCGCCTGCGACGGTGAGCTACCCGACTCAGGGCTCTCCGACCAACGTTCCTGTTGACCCCACCGCCGACACCCTGGTTTCTTCTACCGAAACCCTCCTTAGAAATATCCAGGGTCTCCTTAAAGTCGCGGCAGATAATGCCCGTCAACAAGAACGACAAATCAGTTACGAAAAAGGTAAGCACTTTTATATTAAATAGTAACTGGTTTCTAATAAAATTACAATAATTCAAGTCTTAATTATAATTTTTTGGTCATTTTAAAAATTCCATAAGTTTAATGTTAAAATGAGAAAGCTTACAATAAGCTAAAGAAAAAAAACTGACCACTTGCTAAGTCGCTGTCAGTTAACGATGTCTGTAGCTCAAGCGCTAAGGAATTTACATATGAAATAAGGGCTTGTTACTTTATGAGGAGTCAGAGACATTTTGAAACAATATATATTTATCTGGTCCAGATAAACAAGTTATTATAGTTTTTTGTTAACATTCCTCGTCAATGAACTCGCTACGATTTCATCTTTATGAAAGTTTGTTTTGTAAGTACCTACTCGTATTATCATAAACTTATTTGAAACGTTTTTTATGCAATGTTATTTTGTAGCAATCTGTTTGTTATAATTAATAATACAATTATTATTAAAATAGTTGCTTTTAATCTGCATTTATATTGGAGATAGCCATTTCCATAACGAAATAACTTTTTAAATCATGAATATAACACAATCATGAATTGCAGTAAGGACATTATGAATATCTGTTTTCCATGCAAGAAACTACGCAGGCGCATGTCGTGCCTTTGCAAATAGCCGTAGAACAGATGCGCCTGAGTTATAGCACAGCCCACTATCATTACCCACGATTCCATTCGGACAGCATAATTGTTTAATTGATATTTCTGTGAGTTATTTATTCACATCGTTTCGTTTTCACCATGAGAAAATAAGAAATATTCTTCGTGCTCTATGGCTTTCGAACTAGCGTCTATATGATCAATAATTGTAAAATTGTTATATAAATATATTTTTTTCATTATTGACATAGAGAACGTAGAGGATTACAAAAATTTATATAAATAGTAAAACTAAATGCTCTACAAAATCTCTCTTTAAAATTCTCGTAGCAAGTTCTAAGATACTATACTATACCAGGAAAAGATACTTCAACCCGCGTCCATCTATATAATAGTAGATAGTGCAAATGAAATATTCTTAGGAACGAACGCACCAGGTGTATAAAGAAAAAAAAAGATTTTACAAAATGGTTTAGAAAATTCATAAAAGGTTATAAAATATTAAAATGTATTCGCTATTATACTTTTCCTCGATGCCTAAACAAAAGCAAAACACAATTGTTATAAAAGCCATAAAAATACACAGGATGAGAAAACTCGCGGCCCGAGTCATCATCAAACTTGAATATCAATATTGCGCCTCGAGCCAATTGTATTAATAAACAAAACAAAATGAGAAATAATAATGCTATAGGCCAACAAAAGGTTCCATTTCTCCCCCTGATGTGTAGTTAATGCCAAAGGAATAATCCCCTAACTTAGCGGCAATAAGATTGGAAATTGTAAATCTATTTACTAAACCAGTAATTTTGTTATTACGATAATAAAATTATTGTTGATGAAACATTTTTTCGAACCAATGTGTCTGGCGAACCTTACCGATGATTTTAATAGAAATTACAGCAATCACTCGCCCGGATCACCTCCGCTAACTCGATAGGTGAAGAATATTGGTCGAATAAAATTTAGTTATTTATATACATACACACGCTTTTGTTTTGTGTATATCTTACGTATATACGGTGTACATTGCTTATTTTCTATTCATACGTTGTAAGTACTAGCAGTTTGTCATACCGAAAGGTATGTATAAGTTGTCACCATCACCCCTATTTCGCCCACAAATGGCAGATTGCTATCAGATGTATTCGTTGACAATTTTTACACTACTCTTGCAGAGTGGGTGTCGCACAGACAAATGTACTGCATTCACTGAGTTATCAGATAACACGGGAGGGTCCTATGAAAGGACTTCACTGTGATAAAACTCTTTCGATTTGTTACTGTAAATAGACAAGTAATGAACACTACGTGAGAAACGTATTCTTTGAGCGTTTCAGGTGTAAACGTACACAATTGCTAACATCTTTTATTCATTCATTTATTTAAATTTAATAAATTTTCTTACGTTAAATATTTATTGCATATAGTATAGTTTTTAAATTATTTATTTAAAAGACATAATTAAACGACGTAACATATCTTCTTATATAAAGTTTCTTTAATTGTTCACATCGTTGCAAAAAAGCATTTATAACACGCAGAATCGTTCCGATCCCAATCGTCACGACATAAATCTGCATCGGCTACTCTTTAATCCTTTATCCCTGTTAATTCTTACCGCTTAGTTTATTTCTGAACCAAATGGTCCGGTCTTGTACGCGATTTTGTTCACCTCTTTTGTTTTACAACTATCAGTTTTTGTTAAGCTAAGTGCTGTTCAACGGACAAATGGCACATGCGCGGGCAGATAGGACAAGCATATTTTATGGGGTTGAGTTAGAAAGGGAATTCCACTTCCATATCAAGAGATAACTGGTGTCGAGGACCATAGTAGTCATAGCCCTGATATTGAATATTGCCTTGTCTTAAATATGGCATTATTAGTATTAATGTACATCTATGTTGCTAATATTTTGTTCTTGAGTTGGACTTTTTATCTAACTTTGTTCATATTCTTTTGAATTAACTAATGACTTTTATCATAGAAATAGAAAAGGGTCTCAAAGCTTTATATAAATTGACATTCAACTGCTGTTATCGATATGAGTACTTCAGCTACCATATAATATTATCTTTATAACAGTTGGATGCAAAATGAACCTGAAATGTACTGATACATTAACTAAATTGTATAAACAAGTATTTAAAGCTTAAATGTCTGACAAAGTCAACATGCAAATGGTAATCATAATTAAAATAAAACGTTTCTTATTTCACTGTGTTTATGATATAATTTGCGATGAGATCGCATTGCGTTGGAGGGAAACAGCCCATCAATAATGTGGAAGTGACCGATCGAACAAACAAGAACTGGCCAATGATAAAAACTGATGAGCAAATAGACAGACAGGACTTGTGTACTCAGCTAATGGATTCAATTGATATGAAAGCTTTTACAATACTGTCACGGACATTCCTATTATATCTTGATGTAACCAAATTAGTGAAATTGTGTTATGTTTTTTCAGCAATCTTCATTTTTATATAAAACTTTTGTACAAATGAAAGATAAATTCAAAGGTAGAGTAGTAAATTAAGATAAGTTTTTCAGAGCTCTCTTGTAAATGTAAACATAGAGAACAATCTCATTACCCCTATTATATTATGGCAATAGTTTTAATGATATCTATCAAGGAAAAAAGTATATTATCTACCGTAATGATATGTAGAGACAATCATGACTTAGGACTCTTAAGATTATATAACGGGTGGCTAACGAGCTTGAACGATGCGATATATATCAGTGGATAAAAGCATTGTGCTCGCACTATATGCGAGAAGTGCGTACCTAAATATGGCTCTACGTTAAACACCTCTAATAGACTAATAGCTACAATTAATAGTTAATCATTCGTTATTTGGCCAGACATAGATATTAGTAGGTCATAATAACAATATCATTTTTATATTTTAACCGTTCCCCTGTCCCATGAGTCATATATGAATATTTCGATTGTTTAACTATTGTGTCTATTTTGCGGACAGTTAATCTGTTAATAGATAGATTTCTATACTTCAACAATTATATATTATTGTACAACGACATCTTGTCTAAGCCCGCAGTTTTCAATACCTGTTCCGGGTCATTCCGACTCATGCCAAACTGGTCGTTATAAAATAGCCACGTATTTCCTATGCTTAGTACTTTTCTTTAGGAATATTTGTAGTCGACTAAACACTATAGCCCCAGTTAAAGTTAGGCTGTCGATCACAGCCATAATTCGCTAGTTCAAACCGCCCCCAGCTAACGAGCCACCGAGATGCGGCAGATATACCGAGGCATTGTGCCGTGCCAGCTTTCGCACCATTGTGCCAGAGGTGCGCGAAGATCTCGCGGGGCAATCTTTGTTTGTTTACTCTAACGTGCTGACTTAAGTTATGAGTTTCGATATTTAGTGCCTATGAAAGCTAGAAAAGTTATATGATATTATTATTCGTTTGAATATTTATTTTCCACTTATTAAGGTTTACCCGTACCCTCGTATTTATTATAGCATTTATCCCGTCTATACTAATATTATAAATGTGAAAGTTTGTGAGTATGGTTGTTTGTTACTCTTTCACGCCAGAACGGCTGAACAGATCTGGATGAAATTTGGCACAGAGATAGAAATAACACATAGGCTACTTTTTATCCCGGAAAATGTAAGGTTCCCGAGGGATAGATTTTTGATTTTTCGCTAGTAGTAACTGCGTAAGTAGTTGTAGTAACTGCGTTATAGCTATCCTTTATTTAATACACTGAAACATTTGCAGATATCTACTAAACACTAAAGTATACATAACATAGTAATATGTACTCAGAGGCAAGATGCCTTTCTACAATCCTAAAGGCGAAGAGATCTAAAATAATAATTGGAAATGATTCTTTTTTTTGAAAATGATTACATATGTAAAGATTTTGTCATTTCAATACAATTTTTATTTTCAACCGACTACTTCAAAAAGGAGGAAATTCTCAATTAGATCGTATATATATATTTTTTGTACGTTCGCGGATAAGTTCGTCGTCTATGAACCGATTTTGATGATTCTTTTTTTGTTGAAAAGGAGGCATCCCCGGGAAATCGAGGGAAAGCTTCGAAAATCGTAGTGGCGACTAGTGCGTTTGTAAATTATTTTTATTAAGTATTTTAAAGTACTTCTATTTAATGAAGACCTGGAGTCCATCTGATGATGTCGAAAGATAGTCGAGGGAACTCCTCAACAATTTAGAGCAATTACCTGGTGTTTGGGCTTGATTACTTTGTATTGCTGAGAACTTTACACCTAGATGGGTTGTGACAGTCATTAGAGGTTTGAATAAATGGCTTAATAGAATATTTTTTTTAAATCTTTCTTCTTACAAATTACCCACTTATTACGTCTACACAAAAAATGGA